GTTCGAAATGCACGGTGGCAGACGATGGCAGAGGAGGCTGGCCAGCACGCGAGTTGGATAGTAGGGGAGGCGAGGAAGCGGAGGGTTGCTCCGTAACCGCGATAATGTGTCTGCCGGAGGCATCTTCACTGTTGGACTGTACCACCTTTTGCCGGTCATCGACGGTTACCGTCATGCTGCTGAGAACAAGACCAGCGGCATTCCTGCCCAGCACTTCCCATTGGCCAGAGTGGTGCTGGTGAGCTTCTAGAATGATGAGCTGGTGTACAATGCCATCCTGCTTGATCTGTAAGTGAAATGAAGATATGAACCGTAAGATGGACAGCCTTAGATAAGTGAGCTGTTCTCCTTTTCTTCATAGTAGGATCAAAATTCTCTCTCATACAAAGTAGGCAGACTGTGCTGCCGAATAGCGAGCTGGGCTTTCTAACTCGACCACGTGTAAAAGTTTAGGCTGTTATAGAGCTTATAGGAGTTACTGTCATTGTGTGTGAAGTTATTCTCCACAACCAGGTAGCAAATGGAGTGTATTTTCGAAATATACCCTTGGAGAGAAAATTTACTGAAATGAATTTTAAATCCAAAGTCCTGGAGCCTTTTTATGTTTGTAGACCTGAAGCAACTAAGCCAATAGGGTCAGTTTGAGTTTCATATTTTACCGTTTTGTTACGTCAACAGTTTGACGTAGAGCTCTGAAAGAGCGCAGAAAACCCAATAACGACGTCCATAAATTTATAAGAACACAAGGTAAACCTGTGCCTGATTAACGCTAAATATAATGGCTGGGAAGAAATTTTAAATTATCTGTTAGACTGAAATCGACGTACAGACCATACAGTAGACTGTGGATGTGAGAACTCCCAATAGCAACCCGACTTTAGACATGAATTTTGTTCATAACGCCTGTGAGCACGGACACAGCAGAAGAAACACCTGATACTATCCCCTCTTTTTGGTGTTCGCCATTTAAAATTGTGCATTTACGACTAAACCCTGAACCATTATCCTTGACATATGACCATTTGAAAGTATGCGTAAGCATTTTACCTTAGCAATAGCAATAAATATGTATTATCTTGCAATTCACAGTTAGTACGTTTCCTTTTCCGGTGACTGCGACGAGCACTGTCACCGAGCAAATACTTACAGTGAACAGTTTTGCTAAGGTATCGGCTTCGTGTTATATTACCAAAATTGGGCTACATCACCGAAGATTATGGAAAGTGCTGTGATGAGCATCCTATTGAAAGTATAATTTCCCATGGGCATAATCATTTACTCTAGGAGAATAAGTATCAACAATAAAAAGATGGTCAGGGAGAATTTCCTTAAATTCATTTTTTTTAAAAAGGCGTATATTTTAGTTAAATGGCTTGTAATAATGAAACTTTTAAGACCACGAACTGTTAACTTATTAATCATAGTATATGTGCATCTATCAGTTCTGCTTGTAAAGTAAACTACATGGTCCATCTTCACTGCAACATTTGATGATTTAAATGTGACATCTACCTATTTGCGTATAGCAGGATTAAGAATCGGCAATTGAGAAAGATTTTTAAAAACCGAAGGATACCACTTATTGATATAAAAAGATTTAAGAATTTATAATTTCCTGCGAATTCAATATAAATAAAAAGCTGTTTAGTGCATGTATTTCCCACAAAATACTTTTAAATGTGCAAGTGCAAAGAAAATCAAACCGAAAAATGCATAAGAATTTAAGTATTCATTTTTTAAAGATTTCGGTTATGGCGCTCAGTCGGAAAGACGTCTATTCAAAAACTAGCCTCCAGCGTGTTTATAGACCGCCACCTCCTCCCAGTCCTGAAACCATTGACATTCTGTCCAACGAGGTATCCTCTTTCCGGTACCTGGTTGTTATCCGGACATTTAACCTCTCATTTACTCTTCATATTGAGTGCTTTTTTAAATACGTAAACGTTTGCATTGTATCCGCCGCTTGCGTTGACATCATGCGCCGCAAGGCCTAATCTGATGATTTATAGATGCTTGCATTTTCCCCCTCAATCTTTATTGCTTCTAGTTATTTTTTCAGCTTTACAGTACGCGCCAGAATTCGTCAACATGCCGACATATGCGAAATATTGATACTCTTTCGCTAATCGGCATTGACTCAGGTTGTGATACTGATTACCGTGTAGCCTATTCTGAAGTTATTTCAGTCATGACTACTAACAACACGTATGCACTGTAAAAATTAACTACTTAAATAGTATGCGGTTTTATCATTGATTTTGACTGCCTTTATAAATGCAATTATATATTATGGAAAAAACATTATTTCTTGTACGCGCTTGGTAGCGAATTACGTCTTCTTTAAATTTTATACTTAAAGAAAGGGGATTCTTCGGTTTTAGAAACATTTCTAACTATGAGCTTCTTTACGATTGCCAGGTTTTTATTCATAATACATCGTATCGGTCAATTTAAAAATGCTGTCTACACTGTATAAAGCATGCTCCTCATCTATGGCGAAACTATATGAGAACTGTGTGACTTCTTCCTGAAACCGTAGGCAAAAAACGTACTTTTCCTTAAACAGGATGTACATAGTGCACAGTTTTTAAACCTTGAAATCGAGTGTAGAAGTCAGTAGGTTTGAAAATTATTCGGCAACTAAAATTTTTTAAACGAAAGATACTCCTTCCTTAAGTGTAAAATTTGAAGGTGTAATTTGCTACCAAACCAGTACAAAAAATAATTTTTCGTGCATGTTTTCCATAGAATATATTTGAATTTATAAAATAAGTCAAAATCAATGATAAAACCGCATACTATTTAATTAGTTACTTTTTACAGTGCATACGATTTGTTGGCTACATGATACTCAGTAACAAAAACTGAGTCAATGCCGATTAGCGAAAGAGTATCAATCTTTCGCATATGTCGGAATGTTGGAATAATTCTGGCGCGTACTGTACTTAAAAAATTTGTCATTTTTAAACATATCCTCCAAATGCGCTCTTCAGTTGTCAGTGTTGCCTACGATTTTAGCTGACATTATAATATAGCGACACTTTAAAACTGTCAAACAAGTTGCTCATCGCATTCTTAATGAGGTCGCTCACCCTATTCACTCCGAACTAATGGCTGCGAAGTCTTCCCGGACTATGCGCTGAAGCTTACGTCATATGTCTTGCCGTACATCGACATATCAGCACTCTGTACTCTGTACGCTACCTCACGTGGGAAGAAACCGAAACTGAGAAGTTTAAAGCCGACCTATCTCCATAACGTCCATGTGGCTATCGTGTACCTCTTTCACTTTGAGTATTTTATGACCGTTTACCACGAACTCTTACCTTAGCTTATCTCTTTCTCTCCGTAAATAGAGACATTTTTTGCTGAGAATTTGGATAATATCTTCAAAGTAAAACATTCTGTCTCTAGATCGTCTGCAGATCGCGTTGCATGTAAATCAACACTACCATCCCACTTATCATTTCGAAACGAAGTCATATTTCAGAACTTCGGTTGGCATTTAATGGCATAGCACGAGTACTGTCATGTTTGCTGGATGATCTTTGATGAAAGTCCCACACGATTTTTTATATGCACCTACGAATAAACAAGTTAGGTTGCCATTCTGTTTCCAGAAGCAAAACATCTTGAAAATAGAAAAAGGTAGGCATAATTCGGTGTAATGCAATCAGACCTGGGGGGGTTAAGGTGTTCTTTGGTTTGTTTCAGGCATGGCGAAAGACCAACAGCTTGTTTCACTTGTTACTGAAAGACACATAACACCAAATAGCTTACCTTTACTCCATACTATGCACACCTTTCCTTGAAAGAGGTTTGGGTGATTTTAGAATATTTTCCAGTGAAGCGAAAGGCAACATTTCCACTACGAGTATTTTACCACTATATCTCTGATCAGTCAATTCGCCCCCACGACCAAGCATTTTATACAGATTCCGGCTTCGTAAGACTGAGTGTGGATCTCTTCATTTACAGCCATCCAATGAGGGCACAGTTTATTTGAAAGGTTCTTAGAATTCTCAGTAGAATGCATGCGGTGAAAAGGCATATTTGAGACCGCAAATCTCTTATATATATATATATATATATATATATATATATATCCCGCTCCCC